GAGGTGGCGGCGCCGGCTGGGTCCTAGCGAGATTGTTTGGGGCGGGTCTGGCTGTTGTTTATTGCATCCTGCCGACGGGGGCAGGGGGCCGTTCCCCGGGGACTGGAGGTGTGGTTTTAAATACAGTGCAAGATAAAATACGCGGCCACCACTTCTGCTTGGGGATAAACGTTGTGCCCTGGAGACCTCAGCCTTCTCGGGGCGCCGACTGTTCTGCTGGGGGGCCGGTGCGCATGCTCAGTGCACCCAAGGTCGCAAATTTGGAGAGGTTAGTGTTTCGGTCGCTGCAGCCTGTTTCCCCCTTCTTTCTACCTCCGCTGAAGTTTCCCCTTCCCCCCACTTGCTAGCTTTGCTGGCTTTGCTTAGCTGAGATGTGAAATCCTATTGTCTTTCCAGGTGGAGAAACCACATTCCTTTGTTTAGGGCCAGTCACTCTGGTTTGACTGGAAACCCATTTTAAGAATGTGCCACACATGGGAGAAAGGGAAAAACCACACACACAAAAACCCCCAAACAAATCTCTGCTACTTGCAAATTCTACCTGGAGACCCTGAGTGAGGCTTAATTTTACCCATAAACTATGACTCTTTGGATCAGCTGACATGTCTTCTCTAGCCAGACTGGATTGTACCCAGGACATGACACAGCCAGGGCCAGATTGACTCTTCTAGGGGGCTGTGGCTATTAGATTTTGTGGGGGGCCCTAAGCTCTGGGATGGGGCCTAAATGAGAGGTTAAGAGTGCAGGAGGAGGCTGTGGGTTGCAGCAGGAGGGTGGATGCAGGAAGTGGATGAGGGCTACAACAGCAGGTGTGGGCTCTGGGGAGGGGATGAGGTATTTGGGGTGCAGGAGGGGGCCAAGTGATTTACAGTGTCAGAGCAGGCTCAGGACTGGAGGTCCTGGGTGAGCTCGCCTTTGGGGTGGAGGGGAAGATGGTGGCTCAGTGAGTGCTGTGTAGGGACAGGCCTCCCTGCCCCCATGCTCCCAGTAATGTGGCTTCAGTGGCTGGTGAGTGTCCTAAAGTGAATCTCTCACTGGTCCAAGGATAGTCCCCACCTGGGCTGGGCACAGGGGGCTGCCCAGGACAGACACAGTTCCTCAGGAAGTGGATGAGGACTACAACAGCAGGTGTGGGCTCTGGGGAGGGGGTGAGGTATTTGGGGTGCAGGAGGGGGCCAAGCGATTTACAGTGTCAGAGCAGGCTCAGGACTGGAGGTCCTGGGTGAGCTCGCCTTTGGGGTGGAGGGGAAGATGGTGGCTCAGTGAGTGCTGTGTAGGGACAGGCCTCCCTGCCCCCATGCTCCCAGTAATGTGGCTTCAGTGGCTGGTGAGTGTCCTAAAGTGAATCTCTCACTGGTCCAAGGATAGTCCCCACCTGGGCTGGGCACAGGTCAGTGAGTGATGTGTAGAGACAGGCCTCCCCCGCCCCCATGCTCCCAGTAATGTGGCTTCAGTGGCTGGTGAGTGTCCTAAAGTGAATCTCTCACTGGTCCAAGGATAGTCCCCACCTGGGCTGGGCACAGGAGGCTGCTCAGGACAGACACAGTTCCTCAGAAAGTGGATGAGGACTACAACAAAAGGGAAAAGCTTCAATAGGAGTGCAAATCTTGTTACTCACCAGAGATTGCATAGGGGAGAGAGACCATATGTCCTGAGTGTGGGAAAAGCTTCAATCATAGCTCACATCTTAAAAAACACCAGAGAGTGCATACAAGGGAGAGATCCTATAAATCATAGACTCATGGAACTGGAAGAAAGCTTGAAAGGTCATCACGTCCAGTACCCTGCTCTCATGGCAGCAATAAACCCACCGTCTAGATCAGAGGTGGCCAACCCGTTCCAGACAAAGAGCCAAAATAGCAGTGGATACAGCACGAAGAGCCGGGGCAAAGTTGTTGTGAAAAAAACCCAACCAATCAACCAACCAACCAAACAAACAAAAAAAGGAAGCCCCCAGAGTTGTTGAGAAAAAAAAGGACTTCCTGTTTAAGAAATGTGTTTAAAGGCCACATCAGGCGCCAGCCGGCCACCACCATCTTGGAGACACCATTTTGAATGGCCATGCTGGACAGCTCCCCTGCCTAGGGCTTCCAGGTGTCCGGTATTGACCCAGACAGTCCAGTATTTTCGCCTCCTGTCCATTAAAAAAATTCAGAAAATGCCAGACACCTAAAATGTCCGGTATTTTCTGTTTTTTTCCCTGCCAGGAGGTGAAAATAC